ATTCCCCCAAATATCTCAGTTTTTCCACTGGAAAAAGCGAAAAAGTCCTCAGACTTCTTCATGTTGTACATTTTGAGTGTGAAACACCTTGCCTTAAAAAGCATTTTTCTCACTCAAAAAAAAAAAGAAGAAGAAAACATTTAATAGGAGTCTTGTTTCCCCAGTGTTCCCCGAAATTTAAAAAGTCCTCCGGGGGGGGGGGGAAGGGGTAAAAAGTCTCCCCTCCCCCCCAGGGTTCCCTCTAAACTGACTTTGTGTGAGCTAGCTCACAGTTTTTTAGCCTCCGGCTCACACGTTTTTGTCTTAGCTCAGGAAGGAGGGCTCCAGAGCAAACTAATTGATGCAGGAGCCAAATTGTTCGCTCATGACTTTAATGCCAGCAGCTCACAAAGCAGAATTTTTGTTCACAAGACTCCACAGCTTCAAGGGAACATTGCCCCCCCCTTTTTCTGGGGCCCCCCCCCCCCCAGCTTTCACATCTCTAGTCCAAATTTGCATAGCCTGGTAGAGAAGCACATGAAGATGATACACATTATAAAAGCATAGGTGGTTGTGAAACAACATGAAGGTGTAGAGCTTCTGTAATGGGGGGAAAGGGGTATTTCCCCCCCTAAGCAAATCATTACTTCAGCTGTGTCTTACATCTCCAGTGAGGCACATAGCAGTAATCCGGCAAACTGGCCGGCTGCCTTTTAGCATCAGCATATGGTGCTGCTAACAGTGTGTGTTTTGGAAGCAGCAAGGGAGAGATCCACGGTGGCCCCAGAGGGAGTTGAAAGAGAGTCTCCGGAGTACCTCTGGTACCACTTAAATCAATTTGGTTATTTGCTTTTGCACGCCATTTCTCCTGAAACGCTCCATGCACCAAGGGGAGCTCTTGCATACCTTGTGATTTTATTTTATTTTTTGCCATCAAGTCACAGCCAACTTACAACAAGCACGTAGGGTTTCTAAGGCAAGAAGTGTTCATAGTTGGTTTGCCATTGGCTGCCTCTGCATACCAACCCTGGTATTCCTTGGTGGTCTGCTGGTCTCCCATCCAAATACTGACCAGGGCCAATTTTGCTTAGCTTCTGAGATCTGACAAGATCTGAAATATAATCCCCTGAAACGTATTTTTAATAGCAATGCCGTCTCTGCCTCCCCACAGAACCCACCTCAACCTTCCCTACAAGCTCACATCATTCCCCAGTTTGAATGGAATCAGAGCCTCTTTTGCCAGGATTTCCCCTTCCTGTTTATACAGCACATGTCAAGTGTTCAAAGCTTGTCTCAGTAATCTCATCAGCCGCCCTCTACGAAGGCCGCTGTGGTTCAGTACCAGGGGTCCATAAGGTGTGGCTGGCTTTGCTGCAATCCTTAGGGCTGCTAGCTCCGGGCTGGTAAACATCTGGAGATCTGGGGGTGGAGCCTGAGGAGGGCGGGGTTTGGAGAGGGGAGGGGCTTTAAGAGGTATAATGCCTCCTAAAGTCCACCTTTCAAAGCAGCCATTTTCTCCAGGTGAACTGACCTCTGTCAACTGGACATCTGTTGTATCCTCAGCTACCACCTGGAGGTTATAATACAAAAACAGAGAGTCACAGTGTTAGGAAGATATGGAAAAAAATATATGACACTGTGTATAATTGATGTTTGCTTAAGGTAGATCTGTTTTGTGCTTTTTGTTGTGTTTTTTAAAATTTTTCTATACTATTGATATAAATATTGGTGTCAAATATTATCAAACGTAGGTTTCACCCAAACAATACATCAAAGAGCAGGTTTACACGATGTTCAAACATTCAGGCAGCACCTTGTCAGTGACAAGTGACTCGTGATTGTGAGACTGACAAGGTGCCGTTTGAATGTTTGAACACAGTATAAACCTGCACTTTGATGTATTGTTTGGGTGAAACCTACGTTTGGTAACACTTGACACCAATATTTATATCAATAGTGTGGAAAAAAATGTTTTAAAGAAAAATAAAAAGCACAAAATAGATCTACCTTAAGCAAACATCTATTATACACAGTGTCATGTCCAAGACATTCAGTTCAGTTTATTAGGTTAAAAAAGCCTTTAGGCCATACACCATAAAAGTTAATTTTAAACTTTTTAAAAGGTTTTAAGCATTTAAAAAGACAGTATTACAGAAATGTGCCACATCTATTATACAATTATCGCACAGAGTACTCAGCAGAAGTCTCAACCTTGTAGATTCGGAAAAGGAAGAACATTTTAATAGCCATTTCTTCAGGAACTTTTCTCTCGCAACTGCATGTTTTGGGCAACCAAAAGTATATGGGCAAGTGAGTCTATAGTTGCCAATGGGCAAGTACCCTGAAAGACTGAGAGAATGTGCTCAAGAGTGTATTCTCATTCTCATTCTCTCTCTCTCTCTCTCTCTCTCTCTCATAAGTGGTCATTTAGACATCATGAAAGTTGCATAAATCACCGTTAATGGTATAAATAATAAATCGTGTGAGCCTGCTAAAATTCTGCATCTCTTGCAATATTGTAATTATATCTTCTGTCAACCTGTACACAAGCATATTATGTAAAACCTAAGAGAGTTTGAGAAGATGTTTCTATAGGTATGTGGAGTGCTATGGCTGGTGCTAGGGAAGAGAAGGTGGTGGGAACACTCAGCTCTGTGGATGAGTTGGTGGTAGGTCCTCCCCCTTGGACAACATAGCCCGCTGTGGACTCCTGATTATCCCCCACTTGCACAGTGGGAAGAGCAGAGTCTGTGAGATGAGAAGAGCTTGCCTCAGTTCCCAGGTGGATGACAGGCAGAGGTAAGACCTGAGCCGGAGCTCTCCAGTTCACACTCTTTTTTAAAAATACGTGCACGTGTGTGTGTGTGCATGCGTGTGTGTGTGTGCGCACCTGGAAGGCATTATGACCTCTGGTGACTGACTGTGTGTGCACCTGGAAGTCACAGCGAGCTCTGGTGACTGACCCCTACTGGGAGCCTGCCCCCGCCTCCCGACTTCTGGTATTCCAAGGAGGTCTCCCATCCAAGTACCTGCCAGAGTCAACCCGGCTTAGCTTCCGAGATCTGATGAGGTTGGGCTTGCCTGGGCTATCCAGGTCAGGGCACCAGTTCACATTCTTAACCCACTGTGATCCTTTTGGTATATACAGGATGACTGGACAAGTTTACATTCAGTGATGTTCACGTATTTCCATAAAGTTGAACCTCTGGCCTCTCTTGGCTGCTTTCCACTGCTCCCTGTTCCCTTGTCTGTTTGGCACCTGGATCCCGAATGCCTTGGCCATCCTCCATGAGGCTCTGTCAGAGCTCAGCTCACGGTAGGGCTGCCGCGTTCTCTTCCAGGGAATGGTGGTTCTGTGAGCGCAGAGGGATTTTTATGCATGATGTGGCAATGTTTCTTCAGCATTTCTGCCTGCGTAGGGGAGAGGATTGGGTTGTGGCACGTAGCTGGAAGGCAGGTTCCATTGAGCTCAGCAAGTTTTAAGCTTGCTTGGCCGCTAGGTTCTTCGAGTCCCTTGGAGTTCCTGGTGAGAAAACTTGCATCTGATCAGGCTACTGGGAGCCCTTTAGTGGTTTCATTGGGGCAGAGGTACACAAACTGCAGCCAAGTTGTCAGTCTTTCTTCATCAGTTAATGGGCTAAAAAAGGATTTGGGGGGGGACCAGAGGTTGTGTATGTTTGGAGAGCCTGGAGGTTGTGTATGTCTGGAGAGTCTACCTGGGCCTGAAATGGGAGGACAAATTGGCAGATAATGACTGGAATTTTAAACGTTATTTGCTATCACAATATGGGTTCACTGGAAGGTGTTTAAAGGGAAGGCAATCCGTTTAAACACCAGCTATCCGGCGGCTCTGAAACCCCCAAATATGTTCGGGTTTTGCGGGGAGGCTTGGCCATTTTGAATAGCTTTAGACAATACCGAAGTTTATATTCGGTTGAAAAAATATCTGGAAAATACCAATAAGGTATTTTTCAGGGAAGTTTTTCAGCTCTGTATTGCCGAATGCACATCCCTACCAGATAATGACCTCCAGAGGTCATTTCGGGAGGGATCGTGGGGGATCGCAGTTCCCCTGGGTAAGGTGGGGGGCGGAGCACATGACGAAGCCCCACCCTCTGCTTCCGGCCGCCCCGCTTCCGGCCCTCTTTCAGCCAGGAGGAGGCAGGAGAAGAGGGAGGGTAAGTTGCTTCCTCCCCGCCTCTCCCCACCCCTGCCTGCCTGGGGCCAGGGAGGGCCTTGGCGGGGCTTCCTCGCACTCCCGCCAGCCTTGCAGGTCCACCACCGAGCCCCTGATGTCAGGGGGTGTGGCATATGCTAATGAGTTCCCCTAGCTCTTTTTCTATGAAACGACCCCTGATGACCTCCATTCACACATACTACTGACTGTCTGGGTGCTGTTCCTCCATGTGGAGCCAGTGGTGTAATTGCTTGCTTTCAATCCAATCATAATATTGTTTTATGAAAGCAGCTCTCCTGGCCCTAGTTGTATTGGAATGGTCCAGTGAGCCATTTGTGGTTTAGGCTTATTGGAGATGGTCTATAGGAACACCTGAGGCTGCCTTCAACTGATTCAGAATGTACATCTGTCAAGGTCACAGTTGTCTGTTCTGACTGGCATGTGGACCAAGGTCTCACGTAGAAGTCTTTCACATTGTCTAATACCCGGCTGTTTTTAACTGGAGATGCCCGGGGTCAAACCTGGGACATCTTCCATGCAAAGCAAGTGCTCTGCCACTGAGCCACAGCCCCTCATTGCCTCCCTCACCTTCTTACTAATAATTTCTCCATATCTTTGGAAGTTATTCTTGATGGTCAAGAAGTAAAACTTCCAGCTGAATTAATCTTTTATTACATCTAATACGCTCAGCACGTCTTCGATGCCAGTTCTGCAGTTCACGGTGAAATCGTAAGCAGAGACGTTTGTCAGCCTGTTGGCAGTCTTCTTGCATGCAGTGACAAATGCAGTCTGAAAGATCTTGCATTGTTCAACCATGATTTAACCTCCACGTTTACTTTTCCAGGTGTTTCTCAAGGTCTGATCACCTTGCCCTCCATATGAAGAGACATATCTGAGCCCCTGAGGCTGCTCAACATGGCCCAGATACAGCCGAGACCTAAGTATCCTGGGGGAAAGGGGTAGAATGGAGCTCTGCCTTTCGGGAGAGAAGAACTTGATCACATGTAAACCTCTGTACACAAACCATGCACTAAATGCTGTCAACTATACTCAATGATGGAACATCCATTCCTTGCGCCTGGCCCTTCTGGAAGGCAGAAGACACGTCGAGAGGAAATGTACTGCTGGAGTAGTCAGTGAGACAGCAGTGGCTTACGGCACTTCGGTGGTCTGGAATTTGTATTCCATGTTTATTGCCAATGGAAATAAAAGGATACGGAAGGCGATTTCCTGCAGGTGGACAGGAGTAGAAAGGAGCTTACATCACTTGCTTCTCAATGAAGCTTGATTGAAGGAAAACTAATTTTGGAGTTGCATATTTGTAGCACTAACTTTTCTTTTTAAATAGATTTTGGAGGGGGGGAAACTAATGACCTAGAGAAACCAAATCCTAGTTTGGTAGCCAAAACTTCAACGTCTTGGTTCCTTTCTGGCTCTTTTGTTTTGAGATTCCCTGACGGACAACGACATGTTGATACTCTTCACCAACACTTTGATCTGCTCCAGTTTTGGGTTCTTCTTCATCGAACTGAGCTGTCAAGATACTTTTATGTCAATACCCAATGGCCTTAATTGGCAAGTAGACTATGGAGTGACACGTAGGGCGCGCCCTACCACCTTTCTTTCTTGAACCGGTGCAGACTTTGCCAACAGTTGGTTTTTCTTTTCTTCGGTTCCTTCCGTCTTGATCTTTTGATATCACCAAGCATCACGTGCATTAGGGAACTGCAAAAAACTGCTGATGTGGTTTCACAGTGGCTGGCCAGCAAGATGCCTCCTGAGTGACGCTGCAGTATATCTTCGGAGGCATCGCCAGATTTGCTATAGTTCAGACTTCCTCTTTAATTGCCTATTGGAAACTTGGAGGTGGGGGGGGGAAGCTCTTTGAAAGCTCAGACCTTTTTACTCTGTGTTCAACAGAACTCATTTCCTCACCTGGATATCGGTCTTGGATTCTATCACTCAGGCGTGACTTCAGGTTTTCCTTCTGCACCACAATGGGGGAGGGGGGAAGCATGCTTGTTGCAACCTATATCAATGGGTTAGCAACTCCGGTCGCTTGTTCTTGCTAGCCCCCTTTTTAAAATGTCTGGTAACTTATTTGTGTGTCCAGCACCTGCAAAAGATAGATTTTTGGGTTGAGCAGATCTGTAGAAATATTTAATCATCTTGAGTGGGGAGAAAAATGAGAATCTCTTCTGATTAAAGTGACAGAACCTACCCTAGGTTCTCCTTCCCCATTTCATCAAGATGATGATAACTTTCCCATTCTCGTAATATTGTACGGTTGACTGAAAGGGATTGGCTTTTTTGGGGCGGGGTGAGCGCTGACTTCCTTCCAAATGACAAGTGCAAATGAGCATTATCGATTGATAATGTCTGGCCCCGCGTTGACCAGCGGTTGTACTATTGTAGGGGTTGATGGAAGCATCAAGCTCACCTGTTGAATCTTGTAGATAATTTGATGGTTGTGTCTCCAAGTGGATTAATTTCCCTATACTTTACACACACACACACACACACAAACACACAGAGAAATATTCTATATATACATGATGTCTATTTCTGTCTAGTTGGAGCTGGCACTAAATCCAAAGACTCCCTTTTCAAGCGGTCTCTCGTGCAGGTGGAGAGCTAGTCATTGGGAACAATTGTGTACAGTGAACCATGTGGGACCATCGCTCTGAGATGCACTGAACGAAACAAAAACGCGACTCTTCCTGGGCTGCTGCTCTTCCACCCCCTCAACCTAGCTCACTGCCCTTCTTTTGACTGTTTTTTGACTCGCCGACTGTTCAGTAATTTCCTAATTTATGTTTAGGATGCAAAAACTTTACACGAATTCTTTTTTTATATATATACAGAATATTTGAAACTGTATAACGTTCGTGCAGACACAGGGATTCTTAGCACTTGGGCCTGTTTTGGGCTCCTGCCCCTCCCCCATCTTTGAGTTCACCAAAATACCGAGTTTTCAGAATAATGTTCTTTTTGGGGATCACAGTTCCTGCACACACTGTGACTGTCAGTGGTCGTTTGGCCTTTAAAATAGCAAGATCTGGCCCTTAACGATGAGATGAAGAATGGACCAAAATCTATCCATCTCTTGTGTGAGGGCAATTTGATGTTAATTTCGAAAGATGAGGGAGAGATCTAAGTTTTTATTCCAAAGATTTATGGTTAACCATGATTTTAAAAAAATTACTGGAGCTGTGCTTGCTGACAATCTTATAGTTCTTAATATCTGTGTTTGCATATTTTCTATTCCACCCAGGGGCTCAATGGGGCTTTTGACAGCTCTGTAGTTTGGTATTTGAATATGACATAGAAATTTCAGGATATCAACAGTGCCATTCTAAGCAGAGTTACATCCACTGAAGTCAGTGGGCTTAGTAGAGTTACTAGCCAATGGCTGGCACGTGACAGGAGAATGGGGGATAGGAATGTGGGGAGCACTGTCATAGAGTTTCCAGTGAGTCCTAGAGTGGTGCAACATCACTTCCACATTTTCCCAGGAAGTGATGTAACACCATTGCACTGCTGTTAATTTTTTTCTTCACTTGTCTGTTGCTGGCCTACTGAGTGGCAGTGGGGGTCAGTGGCTGAAAACAGGAAATTGGCCACTGGAAGCAGGAGCGTGGCAACCCCGGAATGGGGTTTACTCTGTTTAGGATTGCACTGCAACTGAGGGAGATCACAGAACATCCAAACAGGACATTAGCTAAGAAAAAAAAAATCTACACTGTCCAAGAGATTGTTTTTGTAACATCTTGCATTAAGTGTGAATGTATCTGTCATGACAGTAGTTACTTGGATATCAATATCCATGGGGTGTCAGCACCTGAACTGTTGTTAAATGCTTCTGCCTCTAGAATTCTTAGTGAATCATGTACAGGAGTCAGTGGCGATTTAATATGAGTCTGTATTTTAATTAATTGAAAGAGGCATGAAACGGGAGGGGGGAGCAAGTGAAATGAATTACATCTTGTTGACATTGTTGGTCTTGCTGACATCACTCTTAAGTGCAGCCAAATGAGAAATCTTCAGTACTCTTCCAACTTCTTGCTCACACTAGTTGATTTGTAGTGAAAATGTTCACATTCCTTTTGCCCTTATCGTTCCAAGTGGGCCCGAACCAAAGGAGCCGTCTCCAAAGCCCCACAATGGCAGACTGGGTTGTGGATCGCCACTTTAATCTCTAAAGTAATTTGGCCCTCTCTGTAACAGCTTTCCAGTGTTTAGTAAAGGTGACCGTACCCTTTTCTTTAGGAGTAAGACGCACTGAAATAAATTGGACTTGCTTCCAAGTACAACCGGCTGGAATCCAGGTAGTATGGTGGTGTGTGCCAAGAATTAAGAGGCCACCATAACTGAACAGTTGCAAGGAATGGCAGGACCCACCTCCCCTACATAGGAATCTCACAGGTAAAGGCTGCTAGGTCAGACCTGGATGGATGTGTAGCCATTGCTAACTGGCCAGCGGTGCCCCATTGTGGTCCACGGCAACAGCAACAAGTGCTTGTTATTGCTGACCAATTGGCTGTCATGTACCTGCGCAGCGCTGATCTAAGCTCTCCCATGTATTTGCTTTAGGGTTGCCAGGCCCCCCCCCCCCAGTGCACGGGGAATCCCCTGGTTTCCAGCACTCCCCCTTGGCGTAGGCAGCTGGCCAGCGGGGGAGAGTTACCACCCCCAACGTGATGTGCCTACATCACCCAGAAGTGATATAGGCACGTCAGTGACATCAGGGGGCGACACTCTGGTTTTTTGGCCAAAACTCTAGGGTAGAATTAGCTTCAAACCATAGAGTTTTGCCCAAAATCCAGATCATCACCCCCCAATGTCACCAATGTGCCTACGTCACTTCCGGGTGATGTAGGCATGTCACACTTCTTCCCTCCCCTCTCCTGAAGTGTCCCGGTAAGTCCCCTGCCAGCTTTTCATTCGAACCTGGCAACCTTGATTTGCTTCTGCCTCACTCTATCTGCCCACATCAGATATTTCTTCCCCCTTGGTTGGCAGTTCCTTTTAGCAGTTTCTGACTTCCCACTCTGGCCGCCACTAGCGCTATAAATCTGCCATTTGAATCCTTCTTACTAAGGAGTTAGTCCTATCGGCATTGGTGGGATGTCTGACTCCCAAGTAACCATGCTTAGGGTTGCTTCAGTCAGTGTCCTCAAAAACAGTCTTTGTGTGTTGGGAATTTGACTTGCCCTTCTATGGCCGAAACAAAACACGATCCCGGGTGTTGAACTGTAATAATAATGAATCCTGCTTTCTGAAGGGCTTCTTTTGTCGTATCACGATGAAGACTGAAGAGAGTGATTATAGGGTTGCCAGCTCTGGGTTGGGAAATTCCTGGAGATTTGGGGAAAGGCAAGGCTTTGGGAGGATAGGGGCCTCAGCGAGGTATAATGCCATGAAGTCCACCCTCCAAAGCAGCCATTTTCTCCAGGGGGACTGATCACTTATTAGCTGGAGATCAGCTGTAACTCCAGGCCCTACCTGGAATCTGGCAACCTTATAAGCAGGGGTCGTTTTGTAGAAAAAGAGCTAGGGGAACTCATTAGCATAACTCATTAGCATATGCCACACCCCCTGGCATCACCGGAAGTGTGTCATAAGGCCACACCCCCTGACATCACCGGAAGTGTGTCATAAGGCCACACACCCCGCCCCCAACGGGCCCGGCCGTTGCTGCCGGCCTTGCAGCTCCACTGCTGAGCCCCATGAGGGGCCCGGCGGTGGACCTGCAAGGCCAACGGGAGTGCAAGGAAGCCCTGTGAAGGCCCTCCCTGGCCCCAGGCAGGCAGGGGTGGGGAGAGGAGAGGCAGGGAGGAAGCAACTTACCCTCCCTCTTCTCCTGCCTCCTCCTGGCTGAATGAGGGCCGGAAGC